GCAGCAGTATATCAACAAATTTTGTCAAACACAGAACAAGGTTTTATTGGATTATTAAGAGGAAACCAAACATCCATGTTGTAACTAGGGGGTGGGTCATGCAATTTCCAACCTTGCTTTAGGGGTGGGTCAGTCATTTTTGTGCCGAAGGGAGGGGGTGGGCCATGTGTTTTTTATCAACCATATTTCCAAATGCTCCGGCCCACCCCCCCCCCCCGTACTTTTTGACCAGTCCCTTATGGCACATGTCAAGCCAGAAAAAGTGAGCAGTTTGATAGAAAATGTCAAGTACGACTGAACAACGCCCGTAAAAGCGCCCCTAATGACTCGGGCGGGAGGGGGAGGCAGGGTGGGGAGGGGAAACTCCGAAATTGAGCAAAGAGGACCTAGCTCTAAGCACACCGCCTGCTTTTTAGTTGTCCGTTTCCCTTGGCAATAAATTTTACCCACAGTGTCGAGCAACTCTTTAAAGGAGATTGCAAGCCCTCATATTTGGGCCCGTCAGGAACGCTCAGCGGTGAAACCAAAGATCGCGCCCTCAAAAAACTTATTTTAACTTACTGAAAGCTGTTTTTTCTTGACCTGTTTAACTTATCGTTAGGAAAGAAGAAAAGGAATCTCATAATTAGCGTATGTATAAAACTATCAAGAAATCTCGAAATTCTGGGTTTTCTAAGAGAACAAATACTTTCGAAAAATTTAGGAGAAAGTCCGTGGACTGGAAATAACTCGCTATCAATTATCCCGAAGATATCCGAAAATCTCACTTTTCAAGCCCACTTTAATTCGCTTCATTTTTGAGGGGAGCCAACATTAGCCGCGCCACTGTTATTTTTTTGCGCCTGGGTATCTCACGTTATGCTTACGCGTATCCGCAAGTGTGTCTTACATCCTACGCTTACGTAAAGGTTATATACCTGGAACGATGGGGTATGTGATATATTCACCTGGTACCGCCCCGAGGGCTACGTGTGTAAGACTGTTCCTTTTCAGATTTTCAATAGCAATGCAAAAAACAATAGCTTCTAGTTAGTGCGAACGGCCTTTCCTTCTCTTTTATTTTCGTTTCCTTTTTTTCTCAAAAAACGCAGTTTTTTTTTTCATGGTGCGAGGGGCGCGATCATTGGTTTCACCGCTCCAGCGTTCCAGACGAACGCAACTATACGGCTTGCAATCTTCTTTAAAGAGTTGCTCAAAAATATGAGCGAAATTTATCTCCAAGGCAGTCTCACAGCTAAAGCGCAGACGGTATGGTTAGACCTAGGTCCCTTTCGCTCCATTTCAAAATTCCCCCCCCCCCCCCCCTGCCAGAATCATTAGGGGCGCTTATACGGGCGCGGTTCAGTCGTACTTGACATTTTCTATCAAACTGCTCACTTTTTTCTGGCTTGACATAAGCCTATATTTTTCCCAAACGTTGCTCAGAAATGCAAAACTTGCTCGAGGTTCCCAGAACTACTGAAAGCTTTGCTTTTAACACCAGAGGCGCTCTAAAATTATGCAGGTTTTCTAGCCCCGCTATGTCCAGTTTGAAATGTTCTGCGTTTCTTCGCCCCACCCCGAAACGGGCTGCCGCCACTTAGGGGGTGGTGGGAAGCGACGGATGGCATTTAAGACTAGGAATTAGCAGTTTTTTCCCCCTAAATGTCATTTTTCTAAGGATACAAGTAAGGAATTCATAATCGTATTTCAAAATGTGTCAGCAGGCGTTTATGGAAAGTAACAGAATATATAAGGGCCAACCACTTCATAGTCTGTTGTGGAAAATATGTTTTTTCAGTCTTACGTTTTCATAATCGCTCTAGCGGATAAGTCAGTGAAACTAAGGATTTTGATAATTTACATGTTTTGCTTTTATAGTTACAGAAGGCACCGCGTGAGTGTCTTTTTCGGAATGGTATCTGTCTTCAACGGACCGTCTTCAACCTGGGTCTTAAAGTCCTTTGTCACGCAATCTCATTTCGTTAAAGGCAGTAAAGGATTCGGTTCTGTTGTCAAATAATGTGAGGTAGGTCAAAACGTTTTCCTTTTTTATAGCTATAACGATTTGGTTCATGAGAAATGAGAGCATTTTAAAGAATAGCTACCGACACTAAAGCCGTTTTGTAGATATATGATAACTGTTACAGATAAAGCAAAAGTAAACAAATACGCACGTAGGGGATGTGTTGTAGTCAAGAAGTTCATAGCACACTTTCGCACAATAAAATTGCTTTTCCTTTTGAAAATTTACCACTGTGAAATCTAAAATCGTTTTTGGTGTTTAAATGGGCGGAAAAGGGGCTAATTTGCGCCAGAGTTTCAAGTGCTGTCTAAGTTCTCCCTTGTATTCATCAATACAACTGCAAGTTCAGAGGTCGTAAATCACGCGAGTACCGTAAATGTTTTCCGTTGTAAAAACTCGCAGTTTCAATTGCCCCAGAATTTTATTTCACAGATTGATAGGGGAAACATTGCTCTTTCTCTGGAATACCATTTTTCTAATGAAAGCCATGTACTAGAAAGGGATTTTCGCCGTTGAAAAATGGCAAAATTGATGGTCGCGATAATGCTGATTTAGAAGGTAATTTTGAAAAAATATTAAAAAATCAGATTGAAATCTTTTGAAATTGTAACAACGTTTAGGTAGAAAGGAAGGATCATAACATTGTTTAATGTAAGAAAAGTTATGGTATTAGTTTCCGTTTCCATTCACGAAGCGAGGGTATCAAGCACATTTTTCGGTGGTTTGAAGGCCTCTCGAAGGTGAAAATTAAAAAAAATTATTATTTTGGAAAATATTGAGTCAAACGAACTGAGTCTTGTATTTTCTAAAATAGTTTCCAAAGGGCTTTGTTGGGACAAAGTTTGGGGGATTTCGATTTTTCCATCTTGCACACCTATCCGTGGTATTTACAGAAAGTCGCTCTTAAAGAGTTTACTGAAGGTCTACTATCGATCTGTGTTTAATGAATCTTCCAAAGCTTTCATCTTTCAAAAGTGTGTTGAAAGCTACACCCTGAGTAAAATTTACTTTGGATTAAGCCTTCACATTTTTCTTTGGAAAATGCGTGCTACTCCTGGTGTATGCATCAAACCGGGTTGTTTAGCTCAGCGTCCGTTGTGCCACAAAGTAAATTTACCGGCGATTTGTGAAGCTCAGCGTCTATGGTGCCACAAAGTAAATCTACTGAGTTGTGTAGCCAGGCGGCCGTAGTGCCACAGAGTAAATCTACCGCGTTGTGTAGCTCGGCGGCCGTTATTCCGCAAAGTAAATCTACCGAGATGTGAAGCTCGGCGGCACCATCCCTTACCAAATCCAACACTGTTTTAAATATATTTATAAACTATTTTTGAAAACTGTTTTTAACCTGTTTTGTGAAATAGGTTTTAAATAGGGTGAAAAGTGTATTTTTAATGTATTTTTCGACTGACTTTAAAGGTGTTTTAACCTGTTTAAAACACTATTAAAAAATAATTTTTAATGTATTTTAAATTTTGATCAAAATATATAAAAAATCCTGGGCTTTTGCAAAGCTTAAAACATGTTTAAAACAGTTATTAAATACCTTATAAACTGGAATAAAAACAGGATAAAAACAGTTTTAAAAACATATATTAAATGTGCAATACTATTTTAAAACTATTTTTAAAGACAATTTTAAACGTATTTTGAAAAAAACAGTTTTAAAATAGGTACAAAAATATATTTTTATTATATTTTTCGACTGATTTTAAAGGTATTAAAACCTGTTTAAAATGCTATTAAAATGCAATGTATTAAACTATAGTTTAATAGTGTTTTAAACAGCTTTAAAATTTAAAAGGCCTTCTTCAATACTCGTATTTGCAAATACAATAAAAATACTTTGAAAATAGCATTAAAATACAACAAAAATACTACAAAAGTAGATTGAAAACGGCACATATATTTTCTAAAAACAGCACAAAAATCGGATTAAAAAATGTACACAACAATTGAATGGCAAAAAACAGCCTTTAAGTAGACAAAAAATAGTACAAAAATCCCCTAAACAAGCTTAAAAACAGTATAAAAACAGTCTAAAAATATGATCAAAATTTCATGAAAATACTTTCTTAAATAGTAGAAAAATTGTGCAAAACTAAAAATAGTACAAAATTACCGAGAAAAAGCACGAAAAATAGCATTGAAACAGTACAGCGCAAAAATAGTGAAAAACAGAAGAAAAACATTAACAATACAAAAACGAAAACACCTTTGCCAAACGATATTAGGCACGGAAAATCAAAATTTCCTCATATCAACCAAAAGTTTGATTGACTATAAAATTATAATAATTACATCTTTTTCGTAGTTTTTAGTTATAATAAGAGGTTTGAATTCTAAAACAAAACTATGTTATTGCAAAATATTAGTTAGTTCTTGTCCTTCATGGGTTTTTTTAACTTGTTTTCTTCATACTTTTCTATAAAATAATAAAGCAGAAACAAGCATTAGCAAATGCAATAACATAAAGACTAACACAAGTGAATATTTAATTTTTGAAAGGTTTGTATATTTAGTTCAAACAGTCTTTTAATTTTAATCTGTGGGTTTTACAAAATATTTCAATTTGGCCATAATTAAAGCAGTTGCATGGTATGATTCTTTGAATTCATTATTTTTGCATGACAACCTAATAAGAGGCTATAAGATGAATTACTTTTCCCTAAGGATGACACATTACAGCAAAATCCAAGGCATTATAACAGCAAAAACCCATTTCCGGTCTTCTAACGTGACATAGGGACATTTTTACCAGTTTAAGTCACTTTGAACGTCAAGAAAACAACTTGTAATTATTCCTATCAAATGTCTGTTTTGTCTTGTCATGATTATTCAACATATCTTAGTTTACAGCAAAATACATGATGCTACAAAAATCAAAGGACATCCCAGAGACAAAACCATATACCGGTACATCGTACCTATTATCATTTTAACCAGTTGGAAACTTTAAATACCCTGACAGAACAGAAACGTATTATAAGCATAAAAGTTAATTACCCTTGTGATAACTGGGCCTATTTGTCTGAAAAATCAGTTGGTTGCATTTTTGGCGCAATGCCTGCATCACATCTCCCTTTGTGACAGTTTTCTTCTGTTTAGGAACTTCTCCCTCCTTAGGAGGTTTTGGCTCCCTCTCTGTTACTTTCGCGACAACGGCAAATTCTTGAAAAAAAAAACATGAAAATAAAGAGATTACATGAATTCGTAAAAATAAATAATAAAAAAAAAGACAAGGGGCCTGGTTGCTCACTTTATCAGATAACACTATCAACCATCTGAATTCTTATAAAGAGATTACCCGTTCAGATCAACAATCAAATTGTTTCTCCCCAGTTTGTTTTCATTCTCTAATGACTGGCCTAAGAAAACAGTCGACATTCCACGATGCCACCACTGGTTTCCCCGCGAAATGAAGTCTGAGAAATGGGTGCAGAAATTCCATACTGGTGACACATCACTACCCAGATCTAGGAAGTGCATTGCCCAGATCTGGGTAGTGGCTGTTTTCTCAGGCTGTCTAATGATGATCAGTAAAATAACAACCGATACCCAACACCCCTCACAGAGAAAATACGCAAAATTCTGTCACATGAACTTACAAAGGCGTGGATTGTATTTGTAAGTGTCAAAACTATAAAGGTCTTTTTGAAAAGGCAGTTTACAAATTCTAATGCCACTTGCAACTTTACCTGCAATTGCATTAACAATCCTGCTGTCAAGTTCTGATAAACGTTTCCCTGACAAATCATCTCTTGGGTAAAAAATAGTCAGCATTGCGCAGGCCAGCGCTGTCCGAGAAAGGACTGAATTAATCAGTGCTTTCACCTTTATGGTACAGCACCATACCCCCTCGGCAATTTCAGCGAACTGAAACAAAAAAGAACACAATTTCCTATCATACACAGTACATATTAGCTTTACCTAGACAAAAATGTTTTAATCAGTTGTTTTCAATTTTTGTAAGTTTTAGGATCAGTATAGATTTTCTTTATCATTATCAATAATTATAACACAATTCATACTCCTGGCTACAAAAATTGTGTTAAGAACAAATAGAAGTTCACAGCAATTTAAGTCTAAGTTTGTCAAAACCAAATAAATTCAGCAGTTAGGGTTCTCAATAGATTTTTAAGTAGGAGGTGATCACTGATAAAGTAGGAGGCTCTTCAGCAAAGCCAGAGGTGTCAAAACAAAGCAAAGAAAAGCGACCTAAACACAAAGTAAGTGGCTATAAATCCCAAAGTAAGCGGCGATCAATCGCCGAGTGCCGCCTTCTATTGAGAACCCTGAGCAGTACAATGTATTTTTGATAAGATAACGTAAAATTCTGAAAATAAGCCCCTCTAAAATATAAGCCTCCCAAACTCGTAACACACCCTCCATTAAATCACCCCTCCAAATAATGGATTGTCAAAATAGTGTTTGTGAGGATTCAGCATCTTCCAAAGTCTTAGACGTAGATGAAGTAGGCGATTTATTTGATCAATCTGATTTGCTTGAGGAACTAAGGGAGTTAAATAACATGCAAGAATCTTCATCAAAGTCTAAAGATGACAGCAAAGCAGAGGAAAAGTTATTTCCAAATTCTCAATTGTCTGTTAAAGAAACTGTCATCTTGCTTTTGGGCATTATCACAAGGCATCATCTCTCTGGTGTTGCTCTTGATGACATTTTAGCCTTAATCAACCTTATTTGTCCCAAAGAAAACAAAATGCCCAGTGATGCTAAGGAGGTTTTTTCCTTTTTTCAAACACAATCACAAAAAATCATAAAACATTTCTATTGCCCAAACAAGAATTGTCAGGTATATGCTGGTCATACAAAGATATCTGAACAAGAGAGCTGCGGTGTTTGCAAATCCAAGTTAAAAGAGGAAGCAATGTTTCTTGAAATCCCCATACAAGATCAACTAAAGACTGTCCTCTCAGGTACATTGTGCATGGATACAGGTCAAGATTAAATTCAGGTTATAATTTTTTAACCTCTAGGTTGATTCTCAATTTCCCTTGTCTCTTAGCCCTAATTATTCATAACTTACGGCTACATGTATGAGACAAAGGAAACTGACCATCAACCTAGGTTAAGAATTTTTAATCTGAATTTAATTTTAACCTGCAACATATATTTTGATGCTTGAAATATTTGTTCATGCAAAAAGGTTGTTGTGTAGTATGATTTTCCATTCATTGGATACACTGGAGTGAATTTTTATTTTACGAATAAGCATAAGAGATAGTCTGTCGGCACTCTACCTATATTTGTGTGTCAACTACTACAAATGTGTTAGCGTAGCATTTTAAGGTTAAAATTTGACCAACACTTTGTGGAGCGAGTTCTACGGTCACGATTGCCTTCAAACTTGCAGGTGTAAAACTAGAGAGCTCTGAGGCTTTTTTGCTGAAGTTAGGGAAAAATCTGTAGTGGGATTTCAAAGTTATTTATGTTAGACTGTACAATGATGATGACACAGTAAAGGTTTTATGATTGTGTAAAATGTGGCACCCTTGCCAGCCAAGGACATTGATTACAATTTGTTGATTTCTGGTCGGGCAACTGACTCACTGTAAAGCAAGTAGTAAAAAGTGATTATATTTGCTTTGAAATCTTCCAGGGCCAGGTGTCATTGAAAAACTGAACTACAGATTCAATCGAGTAAAGCAAAGTGAGACTGCCATTGAGGACGTGTATGATGGATGCCTCTACAGGAAATTGTCTGCAAATAATGGCTTTCTAAGCAGTCCACACAATATCTCCTTGCTTGGAAACACAGATGGAGTGGCCTTGGTGAGGTCAACGAGGGCAGGAGTGTGGCCAGTGTATTATGTGATAAATGAGTTGCCACCCAAAGAAAGGTAAATGTTTATCCGTAAAGTGCATTATGTGATTGACCAGAATAGTGGAATTTAGTGTAGTGAATTTTACATTAGATGAATGTGGAAGCACTGATCATTTCAGTGTTAATGGAAAAAGTACACATAACTAGGATGAATAAAGAATGACAACCATCAATATTACTATAACCTATTGCTGCTGTTTTGTGTTCCTTTTTTTCTCTCTCTTTCTCTAGATTCAGCAGGTCAAACAGGCTATTTGCTGGAATATGGTTTGGGAAAGGAAAACCTCATTTTCCCACATTTATGAAGCCATTTTGCCAAAGCATAAGAAATTTGTACCTGAAAGGTTAGTGTGACAGGTTTAGAGTTTAAATAGTAAACAAGTGGGTGGGGAAGGCTGTGCAATATAGTGCAAAATAATGCAAAATGGGCTGGTTTTTTTTGCAGTCCAAGTCTAAATTTCAAATTTTCATCATCATACAATACATGTAATAATGCAAATATTCATTTGAAAACTGATAAAAATATATGTTATGAAAAACGTGAATAGTAGTCTTGACACCATATACATTCAAATTATCCCTTTATTACAATAGCCTTAACAATTTACAACTGTATGTGGACAACATGAAATATAATGCAGCCAGTATAGGAATGTGTAACTTATAATATTAATGAGTAGACCTGTTTGTTTTGGTACTTATAGGTATTGAAATACCCAAAGTTGAACACACCATTAAAGGTATCCTCCTGGACACAACAATGGACTCTCCTGCAAGATCTTCTTGGTTAAACATAAAACAGTACAATGGGTACAATGGCTGCTGCACTTGTACTGAGCCAGGGGAACAACTGGACCTTGGGCCTGGAAAAAAGAATGCTAGACGCCAATGCCATGTTTACCCCTTTAATAAAAGCTTTGCACAAACCACTGGGCATGCCAAATTTAGACAGCACGATGAAGTCAAGAGTCAGGCTCTAATCGCCATGTCCCAACTTTCTGAGAGAGGGAAGGTTTCTGTGAGTATCCCTCTCTATATAACTAAAGTTAGCTAAGCTTAGTATGCAATTAACACAAACATAGACTGCTCTTTCACACCCATGAGTGCAGTGTTACCCAGGTTTTTCTTTAGGTAGGGCAAACAAGCATAGGCTGTACTTTAGGTGGCACACCCATGAGTGCAGTGTAACCCAGTGTGAACTTTAGATAGCGCAAACAGGTGTAGACTGTACTTTAGGTGGCACACCCATGAGTGCAGTGTAACCCGTGCAGTGTTTAGGTAGAGCTTAACATCATACACTACACCAGAAGGCAACAGGTTTTCAACAAAACTTGGTGAAAAAGAGCTATAATAAATTGCCATCTCAAATATTTCTTTATCAAACATGGATACATTGTTTTAATGCTCAATTTATAGCCTGGAAAGAACTTATTGTCTGGAATAGAACCTTAGCGAAGTAGAACAATTTACAACAGTTATACCCTAGCTAAATAGGTCCATTCTTGAAATGCTCTTCCTGGCTGTGGCTGCTTAATGGGGGTTTTAATCAAGCTTTTGTTACTATTTGTATTTTAGAAACCAGTGGAAGGAGTTCTTGGACTGTCCTGGGCATTTTCACTACCCCTGCATGATGTTGTTTCTGGCACTGCTGTGGACTATATGCATTGCATCTGTGAAGGAGCCATTGACCAGCATTTAAATGCTTGGTTTGAGGATAAATCGGGCAACCAGTACTTGGGAAACAGTGTGAGTGAGGTGGACAATGCATTGCTGTCTATAAAGCCAATTTCTGAGATAACGCGGTGTCGAGAAGTTTATCAGACTGGAAACAATGGAAAGGTATGTACACATGGCAGTTTGCTTGCATAAATGCATATACAATGTACTTGTGTGTAACATATACATTTATCATTAATAAAATATTGTTCAAATACACTAATTTTACTTGATTGTTCTGGTCATATCAGACCTTGCATTAAGATAGTGATGAGATGCAGATGTGATTGAGTCCATTTTCTGTTTCAGCTAATGAGAAGAGGGCATTCCTTCTCTATTATTCACTTCCATTGCTGTTTGAAAGGCTAGAGGAACAGAGTCTTTTACACCTGGCCTTTCTTGTTGGAGGAGTTTATCGCCTATTGAAGGACAGCATCCCTGAAGCTGACTTGCAAGAGGCTGGCGTCTTCCTAAGACTTTACTGTGCACAAGCACCATACTTTTACGGTGAGTGTTCTGACTGCCTTCATCTTGTGATTTTCTATGGAGGTGTGCAGGATTATGTTTGATCTTGGTGGTATATAGGTGGATGTATGCACATGTAACTGTATAAGCTTACATGTGTGATTATTAATGATTTTGTTAACTACAACAGTGTAATCAGTCTTTGAAATGGTGTGTACAATGCAGTTAATTGTAATTATTTCAGTTATTTTGTTTCAAATTCATTGCCATACCAAAGAAACAATGGAAAAATGAAAATTAAATGAGATAATTATAATACTTATAAGAGATAATTATAATAATAATAATTATTATTATTATTATTATTATTATTTACATTACTTGCATATTATTCATATTGTTGTTATTTTTAACTGAATTTTCTTTTTTTCATTTTAAAAAATAGGTGAAAGGTTTCAGACATTTAACATTCACCAAGTGCTTCATTTGAAGCACACTGTTCAAAACTTAGGGCCTCTGTGGTCCAATTCATGTTTTCCTTTCGAAGACTACAATGGCGACTTGACTGGGTACTTCCATGGCAGTCAAAACATCCAAGGACAGGTTAGGTGGATATGTTTCAGGGCAAAATTAAATTCAGGTTAAAATAATTATTGTTTACCCTAGGTAAACAATCTATAAGTCAACTTCCATTGTCTCCTAATTCAAGAATATTTAAGGCTACAAGAAATAGGAAATTGAGGATAAAACTAGGTTAAAAGAATTTAACCTGATTTTTATTTTGACCCCTACCAGGTACATTTAAATAAATTTGTCCTAGTTACAGTCTAGTATTATTTTTTGATTA